TCAAGCAAATAGACAAGGATGAGAGTGAGGGTGAGGATGAGGATGATGATGATGATGATGATGTATAACTAATGTTAATGTTGATTCTAACGATCTTATGTGATTTTATGCTCTTAACTATTAATTAAGTGATTTCCACAAACTTTCAGGTTGCTTATTTGTGTGTTTATATTATGTACAAGAGAATGAATATATGGATTTAGTTGTGTTTATTTAGCAAACAAACTTATCTTGGGAATTAATTATGTTATATGTGGTTGATTGTTATTCAGGATATGCATTTTTATTACTATCTGGTATTTTAATTTTTTATTTTAATAGGAACCTTAAAATCTTACTATCTTGCGATTTTAATCTACGATTCCGATTCTACCTTAGTTTTCTATTTTACTTAAAATCTCAATTTTGACTGCATTGATTATTATATAACCCAAAAATTAGGTTTCTATCAAAATCCTCCTCGGATCTCTTCTATTTTCTAGGCCCTTGCTAGGGAAATCAGGGAGTTCAGAAGCCCTATCAATGGTGAGACACGAATGTTCTATGAGATAGTGGTGGCTTCAAAGTATACAGAAAAGCCATTCGAGACCCTTCATGGAAAGTCAAAGACATTGAGGATTCTCGAGGCGAGAAAGAATAAGAAAGGAAAGCTTTTTTTCTAAGGCAGGTTGGTGGTGGGTGGTTGGCTCAAGAATTAGATGACTTGACCGTATAAGATATTGAGTTCAAGGCCATGGCCGAGAAGCCAACAGATGAAAGTGCACTTAGTGATGCAAAATTTGCATGGCTTTGTGTGAAACACGTGAAGAGCAATGCAATTGTCATTGCAAAAGCGCGATTGGAATTTTCTTAGCACTCTGGTTAATCCAACTTTGGGAAAGTGCAGAAAGCTCTCTCTCTTCCGTTTAAGCTCTAGTTATGAAGTCACCCCTTTGAGCAGAATAACTGCATGCTAGGCATGGGAAGTGGGCAGCCAAATCATGTGGAAAGCTTAATAATAGCAATGAGGAAGGTAGGAGATTAGGGTGAAAGGAGATGCATTGGCTAGTGATGCCTTCTTCCCATTAGGCAAGGACTTGGAAATAGGATCCCCATTTTTTTTCTACAGAAGGATTAGAGTAAACTTGAATGACAATGTTGCCCACCATCATCTAATTTTTCGAATGAATCGTGCTCTTACATCTTTATGGCTTGGAATGATGTTATGAAAGAAGCATGTGAAGCAGGAATTGGTGTTATAGCAGAGCCAGGTGGTAGCATCAGAGATCAGGAGGCCATAGACTGCGGCAACAAGTACGGAGTTTCATTACTTTTACCCATGTTAGGCATTTTAGGCACTGAAGAGTTTTGTATAGATTTTTTTACTTCGCCCTTAAGTTGGCATGGTCTTGAAAATGTCGATTTTGATCATGACCCGAAACTACTTGTCCTAAGTCCTAACACATACCATCAATTGTCTTTGTGATGATCATGACGAGCAAGGGTGTAGTTAGAATTTCATTCAAAGTGGGCTTGGTGTAAAAATGAAAAATATACAATGAGATAGGTTGGTAGACAAGTTTACAATTATCCACGACCAATTTTCATAAGTATACAAGTATCTATCACAAAAGTTCTCTATAGCTTGTTGGTAATAATGCTGAAAATTGCCCCTGACCCGTCCCTCATTCCTTCTTGACCCTGTTTGACCCATTAGGGTCGGGTAGGGACGGGTCAGAGGGTCGACCCTGTGCAAACATAACGGTTTTGGAAAAATTACATTTTGGTACCTAAAATTATTTTTTTACAATTTAGTACCTAATTTTAATTTTTTATACAAATAGGTTTAAATTTTTGGTGGAAAATTTTATTACGGTACCTTTATATTTTGTCTCTTACTTTATAGTACCTAAACTTTTTAAAGTTTACAAACAAATCCAATATGTTGGTATAAGGAATTTCAAGACATTATGGGTCGTATGGACAAAAAGTGACCCGACCCTAACTGACCCTAACCCTGTCCGACAGGCCTCTACGCTAACTTGACCCTACCTAAGTTGACCATGTAGATAAACTGACCCGGCGGGTCTGTGGGTATCTAGGGTCATGCTTACAGCCCTAATTGGTAAACAAGCGAAACTAGTCAAGACGACGTATTGGGTTTGAGTATTATTAACTAAATACAAATATTGACATTGTTTATGTCACAAAGGTGCGTAGCCTATTTGTATCTATTAATAAGATAACTCTCTATTTTTAATCCATATTAAAGAAATCGATATGTATTTGATGGAGTCTACATTGTAGAGCGCCTTTTGGGCCAGCTATGTTCTCTTATACATCGGTTTAATGCACGGGGCTCATGTCATGGAGGGAAAAAAAAGAAGTTTTTGTGTTGTTGTTGTTCGCCGTCTCGATGCATTTCCTTCTCTCTCGGCATTATCCCATACCGAAAAAAGCGTGCAAAGCCCCGACTGAATCTATAAATCCGCTAATATAAAGCGAGGAGTTGAGCCTGAACCGGCGAACCAAAATCACTTTCGAAACCATACTTCTTATAGCTAAGACGTGTCCAATCCAACGGGAAGACATAGTGCAAACGAATGTGAGCTGCTATACCATAGGTGACTTCGATAATCTATCAAAGGTCTATAGCCTATGAAGGGGTGGATGGAAACATTGAATGATCAATATGAGATCCTCTGATCAACATTTCACCTTGTAGAAAACGAAGAGGTAAAAAAAAAACTGCTCATGCATTGCTGTGTTTGGTTTCCTCGAAACTCCAACAAGGTCATATTCCTTCCAAGTTCCAAGCTAACGAACTTGGTCGCACATTTCCCTGTCCTCTCTCGAAAAGGAAACTAAAAGGAAAACGGAACCAGACAAATTATTACAACCCACGCACTCCAACTGTCCTTCCCTTGTGTTGTGTACCCAAAAAAAAACTGTCCTTCGGCCTTCCCACATTCGTTTTATTTATTATTTTCTGTATGTAATAACTTTTTTTTTTAAGACAGAATATTGAACCGGGGTAAATAAATAGGAAAACAAAAAAAAAAAACTCACGACCAACAGCAGACAGCCACTCGTCCGCTGCCACGTAACCGCACCGGCCACAACTAACCAACCAACGCCGAACCGGAATCGATTACAGCAACACACACGTGGGCCAGCTTGACCCGGCCGCTTTACTCACGGGTTCAGTTTCGGCCCACCACTAGCTGATTGACGGTCGCTAGGCCCACAGCCAGATAGACACAACAATGAGACGACAAGATTTTTTTTCTAATTAATTAGCATGAAATTCTAACAAAATAAAAACAATTTTAGTTGTTATTTTCGTCAAAGCATGCGCCTTGGGATCACATTCTAACTAGGTCTATGTCGAGGCGGTTTACAGTTACAGGTGGGAGAAAAAACAAAGAAAATTAACAGAGAGGGTGATAGTTCCGTAGCTCCAGATATAATATAATAAACAATTAATGTTTCGTACAAGAAATCCCTCAATGGAGGCAAATTTTGGGGTGGGGTGAGGTCGATTGAATTTGTAAATTTAAGAAGTTAATTATTATAATAACATTCGATTAAATAGATTTATGAACTGTTTCGCTATATATAATGAGCTAATGAAAGTTAGATTAATATATGGCATCCCAAATTATAAGTGGTGTATTTTTCCACTTTTCCAACACTAATTTGTGTGTAAATATCAAGGTTGAGTAGGAGTTGTGTATACTGGCGAAAAAAGGTAGAGAAGGACCTGTTATTAGTGCTATATGGTGCTGAATTTGCAGCTTGATTTGGAAAGAACGTTGTAGTCGTGTGTTTGGAGAACAGGCTAAACAATGGGATGTGATTTTCTCGCAATTGCGGGAGGAGATTAAGCTGTTTGCAATTGGAGATGACCGATTTCATGCCGCTTTGCAGCAGAGTAGTATAGTTAGACACTTACAATTGCACTTTTAAGATTTCAGCTAGTTTCATTGTAAGATGTATACCTGAGTTTTTGTGCGACTTGATCAAGTGAGCTTAGTGGGAAGACTAAATACGGGGGGAAATATCACGGTTGAAGAAACCTTTAGATGCTAGGCATGCTAGATAGATATTGAGATTCTGCCTATCGTCCAGTACGTCTAAACGGCGCTGCGCATAAGCAGTGCTTTGGCGATTTAAGTGAAAATAGTATTTTTATTAGAAGTAATAATTTTATAACACTTTTTTAGTTTATTTTCAAATGATTACTAACCTAACTAACCCTCAACAACAAGCAAAATATGTCATGATTTTCTAGAATTACGATGTGAAGAGTAGGGCAGAGGGTTGGGTATACATGAGCTATCAGAAGAATTGAAGAATTTGCTTGGTGAAGATTAGCTACAAATTTTCTTAATCCTTGATTTGTTTGCACACTTAAGCACGTCTCACTTCGATTAATCACATCTCACACCAATTAAGCGTGCCTAGTTTTGAATAGTAGCCGCATACGCATTATGAGCACCTTATTATCTTCCTAGGACCTAAGCATTTTATCACTGCCAGCGTCTAGACGTGCACTAAATTACTCTTTCTTGAAATTTGGTAAATATACTAAATTTCTAATATAATTAATTTATCACAAATATAACCCACATATTATCACACGACAATTAAGACAATTAAACATTTATTATGAATGCAGTCAATCTGCTGTCTTCAATAATTATTGAACTAATCATTCATTTCAACTAAGGATTCCTGGTGTTCTAAAGAAAACATTGGAACCCCTTTCTTTTTAAAAGATGCATAAAAATATTTAATAACTCCATTAATAAGGGTTTAATAAATAATCATTCGTACGCTTTATTAGTAAAACTACAACTAGTCCTACAGAGTACATAAATTCGTTTATTTATTATGTAAATATATTATTATTAAACAAAAAATTCCCTCACCACCAGCTGTAGATTAGATTAGAGAATAGAGGCAGAGAAGAAAACTTGAAAAAGGAAAAAAAAAAAAGTTTTGTAAGGAAAAGGAAAGGGAAAGCAAGAAGAAGAAAGAAACCACTCTCTCCCTCTGTCCTTCTGTCTCTCTCTTCCTTAGCTTCTTCTTCCTTTCCCCTTCCAAGGTTCCCAGAAACGGCAATGAGAGCGCGAAAATCCCTAATCTTAAACCCTAGGATTCTGCCGATTTCAGAGGAAGAAAGCGGGGGAGATAAGAGAAAGAGAGAGACTGTTTCCTTATTCCATTTCCTCCCTCTAGCTCTGCGTTGATGACGAGATTGTGAAAATTTTCCCCAATTCCTCCTCTTCTCTGTAAATTTCTCATTTCCTTCCAATTTCTCTGTAATTCGTCTTCTCTCGCCTCCCAAACCCTAGCCCTAGGAACATCAGAGGAGGAAGGGTGAGAGAAGGAAGCAAAAATGGCTACCAGAGGGAGCAGATCGGAGAAGGTGAAGAGGATTTTCCAGCAGTTCGACCTCAACAGCGACGGCGGGCTCAACAGGGAGGAAATGGCTGCTCTGGTGGTGGCCGTCAACCCTCGGGTGAAATTCAGCGAGGAGCAAATCAATGCCATCCTCGACGAGGTGTTCCGGACGTACGGCGAGTTCATCGACGGGGACAAAGGCTTGACTTACGAGGGGCTTTTGCGAACCTATGACGACGGAGCCGGCGACGTCGACCGTGACTTCGACGCGCTGGAGCTGGAGCTCAATTCGGACGATAACAATAACAACAACAACAAAGGGATCTCGGAAGCGGCGGAGGCGTCTTCGTCGATTGCCGACGAGGGAGTGATGGAGGCCCAGAAGAAGCAGCGGACGGCGGCCTGGGCGGTCTCTCCTAACCACGGTATTGTGTTCGACGATACTTGGAAGATAGTCGATGATTTGGAGATTTTGATCAAGAGGTTGAAAGCCAAGCAGGCTAAAGACGGGAAATTGAAAGGGGATAACGTTGATACTTTCTCCGACGCGGGTTGGTCGAGGGAGTTGGGTCCCTCATCCGAGATCTCTGATAAGAGGATTATCTGGGAAGAGTCCGGGCATGATTATACATCCTTCGTGAAGGAATTGACAGCTTTGAGGACTAGAGCTGATGGGGCGAGATCCAGAGAGGAAGCATTTGATGGGCATATGGCAATTGGGAGGGTTTTATATGAGCATCAGTTGTTCAAGGAAGCTTTATTTAGTTTCAAAAGAGCATGTGAGCTTCAGCCCGTGGATGTGAGGCCGCATTTCAGAACTGGGAATTGTCTGTATGTTCTTGGCAGATATAGAGAGGCCAAAGAGGAGTTCTTGCTGGCACTTGAGGCAGCTGAGGCAGGTGGGAATCAGTGGACATATTTGCTACCTCAGATTTATGTTAATCTTGGCATTGCACTGGAAGGTGAAGGTATGGTTCTAAGTGCTTGTGAATATTACAGAGAAGCTGCTATTCTTTGTCCAACACATTACAGAGCTTTGAAGTTATTAGGTAGTGCCCTTTTTGGGGTGGGAGAATACAGGGCAGCTGTTAAGGCCTTGGAAGAAGCGATTTATCTGAAACCTGACTATGCCGATGCTCATTGTGATTTAGCTTCTGCTCTGCATGCCATGGGAGAAGATGAGAAGGCTATAGAAGTGTTTCAGAAGGCAATAGATCTAAAACCTGGACATGTAGATGCTCTCTATAATCTCGGTGGGCTTTACATGGACTTGGGTAGGTATCAGAGAGCTTCTGAGATGTATACCAGGGTGCTGACTTTATGGCCGAACCATTGGCGAGCTCAGCTGAACATGGCCGTTTCATTATTGGGTGCTGGAGAATCTGAGGAAGCAAAGAAAACCCTTAAGCAGGCTCTGAAAATGACCAATAGAGTCGAGTTGCATGATGCAATCTACCACTTGAAGCAGCTGCAGAAGAAGAAAGTCAAGCGCAATGGATCTACCAATGGTGAAAGTCCCTTTGTCACTGTGGAGCTCTCCAAGTTCAAAACCTTGGGCGAGAAAACCACACAGAGACAGGAGCTGCGCAATGCTCTTCAAATCAGGGCCTTCCAGAGGATCACTCGGTTGACTCGATGTGATGTGGAGCTTCTGAAGAAGGAAATGAGTGAGAATGATGTGCCCGTCTCTTACTCTGGTGGTGGTGTACCCGAGAAGTCCATACGGAAGCCTAACTTGGAAGAGATTCTGAGGAAGTGGCTTAATTTCCTGAAACCCGAGATCTTCCAGGGAGCAGTGAAAGGAATCAACGAGAGGATACTTTCGGTTCTCGATGAGTCGGGTTCAGGAAGGGTCGATCTGGGTATGTTCTTCGCTGTTCTTGCACCCCTGTGCAGTGGTAGCCCCGAAAAGAGAAAACGGGTTGCCTTCGATGCTCTACTATGGCGACCTGTGAATGAAGGAGGTTCTCAGATCAAGAGGGTTGATGCAGTAGGGTACATCAAGCTGCTAAGATCTATATACCTTCCGTCTCAAGGGATCAGTGAAATCCTGGAGGTTCATGGGGAAACCGATTCCTCCATCGTGTCATTCAACGAGTTCCAAGTCATGTTTGACGATAGTGATTGGGGATTCGGTATCCTTTCGACCCTAGTGAAGCTAGAAGCTGGGGATAGGAATCGGCATGGTTCCCGTGTCTGCTCAGTTTGCCGGTACCCAATCATTGGTTCCCGGTTCAAGGAGATGAAATCGAGCTTCAACCTGTGTAGTCAGTGCTACGGTGAGGGGAAAGTACCATCTTCTTCAAGGCAGCTGGAGGAGTATAAGTTCAAAGAGTATGGAAGTGAATCGGATGCGATGAAAGATAAATGCTTGTGCTTTCCAGTTCATTCTAGTGAAGAGTAATGAAAATGATCTCTCTCTCTCCACCCTCTTTTTGTTGATTCTGTATCCACTCTCTCTTTTTTTGTGTGAAATAGATATAGGTTACCTGTTCAGCGAGCTGTTTGTACAATTTTTATGTGACCATTCTAATTAGAGTTCCTGTAAGCTCTTCTTATTTCATGTTTCTCAAGAGGTTAACTTGTACTGAGCCTTGTCCGACCATTTGACCTTCTTTTCTTTTGACCATGGTTAGTAAATGAAGCTGGAGAGTTCTTAAGGGTGTTGGTGTGAATTTCTTAGCTTTGCCCAAGGCCCTGTCAACTTCTTGTTGGAGTTCCCTTTGGTATTTCAAGTTTATGAATTGATTGGTTGGAGTTTGGCTGTTAAGGTTTGGGACATAGTCGCTGTCATGTTTTAAATAATGTAATGGAAGCTGTTGGATTTTAGTTACACAAATGATGTTGATGAATGATGATGGGGGTTGTTATGATTTTGTGTCCCAAGTTGCAGAGATGTGAAGAACACTAATTTTGATAGTTAGATGGTGATTTTGACATACACCCTATTTGGGGTATAATTCTATACCCATCTTATCTAAATTTTTCAATATGTTATTTGTCATCAACAAGTAATGTGAGATGGGGCATGCATTTCGTTTCACCAATTTATATTATTTCATACTATATAATCTAATTTTTGGTTAATTTGATATTATTAGTCATTGTTGATGACTTTTCTTTATATAAGACTTTTGTATTTCAATTTTTTCGTGCAACTGTTACATTTTTTTTTTGTCTGAATCATTACTTTAAAATGAGCCAATCAATTATATTCTATGTTTTTATCCGCATTATGCACTCTATTTGTGTCATATACAAGACAATGAATATCGAAACATTCACTTACCCATTGTGCGAACTTTGAAAACCTTACTAAAAGTTACACAGATCAAAACTTAGCCCTAAGCATTTCTCTCTTAAGTACTTTTCTTGTATGCCAAGTTAGTGGCCGGTTTATTTATGAATAAGCTCCTGTCAATGAATACATTTCCTCCCTAGACAAGTCAATTGGCTCTTTAGCCTTTATTGTCCCCTTTATTTTGGGCTTCTATCATTATCCAACTCAGATTTGGGGTCAATCACCGGTGAGAAACGAATCAACAATTAAATTGTCAAGTTTAAGAATGATAATGGTGACAGATTAGGAAGCAAAAGTGTTCTTTTAATGTCCATCATCATTATCCCACCCATTACTATCATTATCCTTATTTTGACTTGTTAACCTAACCACCTAGCTTTAACAAAAAAAAAAAAAAAATTACAAAAGGAAAGATTCCATGTAGCAAAGCAATCATTACTGATTACCGACATTTTGTGCAAATTTGCTAGACTAGCATTACGAGGATCTGGCATCCTATAGCTTACAAATTACAAGTACATGATTGTTCAAGCGGATTAGGCGATCCAGAGTATAGTTGCTATCTCGCTAGATATGAGTATAGTTTCACTTGGGGAAAAAATCATATGGTTTCTCGTTGAAAAGTATAAATAGGATGATTGTATGTAGTTGGCATGCTCGATATTGAACGAACAAAAATCTGATATCGTTGAACCATTGTGTTAAACTCCAACTACCAGACCAATTTGAGCGCACATATAGCATCTCTGTTTACTCAAATATTGTGATGAAATCACCTCTTTGACTTGCTTCGAAGGCGTGATCAAAACCCACAGTAAACAAGTGAAAGTGAAAAAGACTGGTAAAAGACAAAAGAGAAGATGATCGATCATATGGTAACAAAACAAAACAAAAGAAAAGATTCCAGATTTTGACTGTATATTCACTCGGGAGAAAAGTGTTCCACAAATTGGGGTTTTTCCCTCAGCAATGATATACCAGAAAGCGACTATAGTGACGAAATTAAGGACCCTAAGATTCCCCTTTGTGATGCCTTCGCACGTTGATTTGCATCTGATCCGTTGATGTCATGTTCTCCACTATGGCCAATAACTAATTACAAGTTATAATTATCTCTTAATTATGGACTAATTTTGGTATTTGTAAAATCTTTAACAATGCAAAGCTAATTCGGAATCGGAATCGGAATTGGTGAATGGGGGCAACCGATTGAGTTTGTTGTTAAATGAGATCATTATAATTAATTAAGCCCATTGAAATATAAATAAACCGCGGACAAGAACAACCATGTTCATCGATCCAAATTCATTTTTCATTGAATTCTCTTCATTTGAGGTTAGTCTTATTCCTTCACGGTTTGGGAGAAGCACATGGCAATTCAGTCATGATTCAATTATTAACCTGTCTCGATTTCTGAGTGGTAAAGTCTGACTTGCGAGTCTTCTTCCAACTCGCCTTGCGTTATCTCACTCTGTTATGAATCAGTCTCTCCAAACTCTCTTTAGTATATCTTCTGTCAAAATTCTCTAACCATATATATAGCTACTCTAATGTAACATCCCAGTGAGTCTCAATTACTCGAATGACAAGTTAATGGAGATAAAACTAGACCAAATCTACTATCAATTCAAATTCAAATTTGAATTTTGAGAGATCCTCTTCTTTATACAATTGAGTGATTTATGTTCGTTTTGGATCAATCTTATGTACTTTGATTTTGATTCCTAATCAGACCTGCACACCCACTAGCTGAAACCAACAAAATAGGCTCCTCTAACGTAACTACTACTTCTGAGCTAACCCCAACCTCCGTGGAAGTGCACGCAAAAACCATGCAGACAGATACATCATGCAAGTGATGTGAGCAAAGGTATAAATATATGATTATGGGGTAATACACCCTGCAACTACCATTCCAATCTCCACCTTCTTGATCTTTTCCCAAATAAATATGGGCAAACCACAATATGCAGAAGGACATAGCAATGAAAAATCAGCAACACAAACCAGACGAGCTTAAGTGAGAAGCCGGTTGATCACTTCTCGATCATGATCAAAGTAGTGGCAATGGCCCTGGCAATCCTCCTGCTACTCGCGTCGCCAGCAGCATCATCATCGTCACCAAGAACAAGATCGTTGTTCTTAGTACATGCGGATGGACAGGTACCGATTCCGCCACCTGTTCATCCAGTTCAAGATCAACAACGGGTGCACGAAGAAGATTACGGCGTCTATGATCCTGTGCCTGTCGTCAAAGGATGCAGACATGCCCCAGTACCCCATGCCCGATGACTATGAATCTATGATCATGAACAAGAATGAATGATATGGTCTTGACTTCCTAGCTTTTTTGCTTTTGTTTTTACAGAAGCCCTTTTCTGGGTTCCCTTCCCTATTAGGTCTGTTTCTTCAGTCCCACGCCATTATGCAGAGTGAGAACTATCAATGAGGCCAGTGCCAATAAGTTGTATCATCACACGAGTGTTCAACTTTCAGTTTCTGAGTGGTAATGAAGAACTACAGTCTACAATGTGAAAAAATGACAGGGCACAAAGAAGGTTCAATGCATCTCTTAAACAAGCAGAAACATAAGATTAACTTGTTCATGCTTTCAGCAGAAGAGAAGTCTTAGAAAGCTTACATCTTGTGTTCAAGCATACAAGCCAAGAAGCAAACAATAAATTATAGTTGAACGAAGTACCCACGGGAAAATTGTGATGTACAAGCAACAAATTGTCCAGGTACTCGGCGTAGGCATCCATGAAGAACCAAGCAAATAGACCTCATCAAAACTTACGTCCAGATAGCTCCACTTTCACGGTCTTTTTGTGCATTGTAATGTATGTTTGCTGAGCACTGACCTTGCTCCAACTTTACCTAAACAAAAAATGTAAATATCAAGCCAGTCTCCGGAGGTCTGCTGATAGTAGCATAAGTAAACCCAGTTCCCATCTAGAAAGCTTCTTCAATTCAGGGCACACATGTCACTAAATTAGTAATTTTTTTAATCAATAACTAGCATACCTTACCTAAGACTGATGGCAGAAGGACCAGCGATGGCAGCAACTCTCTGTGCACGCTGAGCTTCACCTCTATAGACATCCTTCGTTTCCTTTTTCAGACGCCTAGCTTCTCGCCTTTCCTCCTTCACAGCAGCCTGATAGCACAAAACTCGATATCAGCCGAACTCCTAAAGGGTTTCCTGGGGAACTAAGCAAGAGAAGATCAACGTGGGCAGGCATGAGATTTGACAAATCAGTAAAACTTATACCTTTCTCTCTTTTTTCTCTTCTTTAGACTCTTGCCCATGTTGCTTCCTTCTCAAAGGTTCAGTTCTCAAGCTCGGTCCATCCTTTGATGTTTCTGCTGCTGAAGCGTTTCTACTGCCAGGCAAAACGCCTACAGGAATCTTTTCTTTGCCACGAAGAGATATAACAGGACCGGGAGCATTCAAAGCCTTAGAAAAAGTTTCAGCTATCTTCTTCTTCCTCGAAGCTCCAGGAGCTTGAATTTTAGAAGGGTGGTTATCGAGGTTCGAGTATGTAGTGACAATAGTTTCACAGTCCCACACCTCCGATTCGTCACTACTTTCCTCTACAAGAACAACTTCTCCCCCGTCATCCTCGTTTTCATACTTCTCGGCATACTCTACAGTGCGGCGAAGGACATCAGCTGCAGTATTCAACAACTCTTCACTTCCGGGAGCCTCGTTACTACGTAATATATCTGCAGGTGCTCTGTATTTCCCCTCGAGTTCCATAGGGTCCATTGCTGAGGTATTTAGAACTGTTTTGAGCTTCTCTGCCAAACACTCATCTTCATTTTCTCTATAACCACAGAAATCATCATCTTCCTCATCTGTGGCATACTCTTCCATTTCTAGCTGCAAAAGATGAACAGAGTATTAGAACCAAGGAAGAGCTTCAACAACCCATGCAGAAAGCTGTAGATGTTCAATCATTATCAACAGACAATGCAATACATGAGTAATGGAAACATCTAACCACGCTCTTACCTGATCAAATTGCTCGTCAAGAAGACGTCTGGGCCTTGCTTCAGGAATCAAATCACTATAGCCCCTTTCTTCAACATTCCCATCCTGATGAACAGAAGGATAACGCTCATCCTTCAGCTCATCGATTACCTCCCCTGACTTATGACTCACAGTCATTGCTCTACCAATAATATCATCCAAATCATCTTCATCATCCCCTTCCTCACCAAGATTAGCACGAACGACAAAGTCCTCCTCCAAATCCTCCACATCAGAACCGAATCGAGATAGATCACTATCGTCGAGCAATGCAGCCACTTCAGGATCAACCACTTTCTGAATCCTGACACCAACAGTCTTTGCTGCTATACTATAAATAGACATGTCCTTGTTATCTTCATCTTTTACTTCAGACACCCGCACTCTAGAAGCATCATACGCCTAAAACAAACACCACAAAAGTAGAAATGAATTCCAGCAGTTCTCGATTCTCATTCTAAAAATCCATAATTTTAGCTTTCAAGGGCAAACAAATTGTAAAGGCTGAAACTTTAGTCCGAACCTTGACATCGCCAGGAATCTGATCGAGCTGGGCCTTCGGGTTCTCATAATACCTGGAGCCGCCGCCGGTGTTCTTAATCTCGCGCATGTGAAGGAGGTAATTGTAGCCATCATCAGGGAACCCAAGCTCGATAATCTCCCTCCTCACATGATCCGGCAAGGAAGAGGATCCACCACGGAACTCGGCGGTGGATCTCGTGGGTATCTCCAGAACCCCATCGCCGGTGCCCTCCACACAGTCGTCCACATCCTCAGGTGCGTCGGCGAAGATAGAATTCGATTCCTCGTCATCACGCTGCTCGCCGCCTTCCTCGTCTACTGAGTACTGATTTTCATCGACGCGCACGAAGACTTTCTCGCTCCCTGGCGTCCCGTCGAAAAAGGGGTCGGAGGAGTCCCGCGCCATTAGCTGGAATGTCGCCGATTTCTTCTTGTCGATAAATTTCTTCTTCCTACCCATGTTTGATAGTACTGTCTCCCAAGCTTGGGAAAAAGAAGACTAAACGGAGGAGCTAAGAACTACGGTGACAATATGAAATTCAGATGAGATTGATGAAGGCTTCCCTTGGAGAAGAATAGATTAGTCGTCTTCAGACCGTTAAAACCCTAGCGGAAGCTTGGTGAGTTTAGGCTGCCAGTTTTATGTTCATGGTTGATACAGATTACAGAGTACAGAAAGATAAACCCTAGAGGGCCGGCAGCTTCCGGAAGGAAATAAAAAAATGTAAAATATTTGAAAAAAAAAGTAACTTTCCGTTGCCGGGACTTGAACCCGGGTCGCTCGGGTGAGAGCCGAGTATCCTAACCAACTAGACTACAACGGATGTTGTTTAATTATCCAAAACAAAACATATTTATAAGTTGGTATGGAAATTCCATCCTTTTAGGTGGAATTTGTGTGAGGGTCTCAAGTCCTTGATACCTATTTACTACTCTATCCTCACTTATTTTGTTAATGCCAACTCTGCCCTCTCTAATTTTCGTACTAGCCCGATCGACAGATAAGGAAATACCAAAGAAAAAAGAAAGACCAGGCGATAAGAAACTTGTGTGTTTCGTTATATATATATATATATATATATATTTTTTGTAGCATGCAGGCCGCAGATGAACAAAACTCCGCTGAATTATTATATAAATATGTTGCAGTGAATTATGTTTCATTAACCTAAAGTAGCAAAATTCTTTTACAGCCTGCAGGTGAATAAGCACAATTTGATTATATATATTGCAGGCTGTATATTTGGTTAATGAAACGAAAATTTGAATATGGGATAAGCTTTGCTGGGGATTGCTTTTATATAAACTTTGCTATATATATGGCAAAATACACTTTCATAGTCATAATTATTCGCGTTATGACAATAATAATAGCCACTTTGTGAAAAATACACAGATATAGCCACTTTTTCAAACTTGCTTGACAACTTTAGCCATTTCCGTTATAAATTTTAACGTCGACACTAACGCCGTCAATAACCTCTATGTGTCGCTGAGCTGGACGCCACCTGGACGACAGATCATTGGCAACTAGATGCCACATCATATTTTAATTAATTTTTAATAACAAATAATTAATTTTACTTAAAAAAATAAAAATAAAAAATTGTAGAAAGAAAGAAATTGTTTTAATTTTTTTTCTCTCTCTCTATTATCTGCTGGCTTTCCCGTACACAGCAACCATTGACCTTCGCCGCCCACCGAAGAAGTCATCGCTTCCTCCAGCCTTCCTCTCTCGATCATCGTCTTCCTCCGCCGCCGCTCTCTTGCTCTGATCATCTTCACCGACGAAAAATATCCTTCAATCAATCTGATATCTTTCCACTACTTCTTTCTCACTAAAAGTAGTTTGAATCTCCCGACGATTAACTTCTCGATCCGGAATTTTTATTGCTCGATTTTCTCCAAAACCCCAAGTCTTCCTAACGGCGACTATGGATGAGTGATGGCTGTCAATCTATTTATGGTACTCGTCCTGCATTCACCCAACCCTCAATATCTCGCTTCTTCAATTTTAAGGAGAGGGGCTTCAAACAGATCTGGAGATCTCGTCAGAGATGAGGATTTTGGAGATTCAATGGACTAGGCGGCCAACTTAGGTATCCTCTGCCACTGCCGTTGAATCCATCGTCGCTGGATTAGGATATCACCACAATCGGCGCATGCTCGTGTGAAGGAAGGTGAACAAGGTGAGAGGAGGTAGATGTTCAAAATTTGGTTGGTAGAGGAGCTTGCCGGAGATGGAGGAGCGTGCCGCGAATTGGGGATTTCTTCCCCTAAATCATCTGAAATTAGGGTTCGCCGGGCTCGCATCGTGATTCTGGGTTGGACGATTCAAGTGACTAGTGTGACAAAGGATTAGGGTTCGCCGTCGTCGTCTATTCACCAGCCGGATGATGCATGGTTTCCTCTGTCCAAGCTTCACCAGAGTTGGAGGAGCGGTACGGGGAGACGTCGTTCACTGGCTCGACAGAGGGTTGGGTCAAGGTGTGTCTTCGATCGATGGACTTTGTCGATCTGGAGTGATGGGGTGTTGTTTCACTGAGATAAGAAGGAGAAAAGAGAAAGTGTAAAATTCGTTCAAAATAGTCAACAGGGTCCATTAATTGGTAAAGTTAATTTTAGGTTTTAACTTTTTTTTTAAGTAATGAAATGAGAAACACTTTCCACCTGTCCTCCTACGTAGATGAACCGCGACTACAGTACAAACATCTGTTAGTCGAGTCAGCAGTCGTGAGATTCCCGTTAAAGTTTTAGACGGAATGGCTATACGAGTGTATTTTTCAAAAAGTGGCTATTATTGTCACAACGCGAATAGTTATGGCTATGAAAGTGTATTTTGCCTATATATAACACTATAATATCAATTAAAATTGTGGTCGGTAAGGGTAATAGAGTAAATTCATAGTATAACCTCAACTAGAATTTAGCAAAGTCCATTATCAAATCCATCAAGCAAACAATGGATTTATTGAAAAACCAAATGGACCAATTCCATCATAAATCCATGGTTTTGTAAAACCCAGATTTTAACCAAAACCTTCATTTTTCAAATCCATGAAACAAACGAGGCCTAGTTTTTACTTTTTAGAGCATTTGTATGCTTTTTCATTTGTATGCAGTATGCTTTTGACGTCGGTATTTTTATAAGATTTTTGAAGTTTTGGCGTAAAATTGAAGAGATCGAATTTTAAAGTCAAATAAGAAAATTATGAGGAGTTTCGAGACACTGTGTTAGTTTCTAGGGATGGCAATGCGTCGGGCCGGGGGCGAATAGTACATATCAGTTACCTTATCCAAAGTAGTTCGGGTTTGGATTTTACCCATACCTATTAAAAGTTCTTCGGGTTCGGGTTTTACCCTACCCGATTAGATCGGATTCGTACGTATATCCACGGTTACGGTTATTTTTGCTATCCCTACACTATGCAGAACGGTATTGCACAGTGACGAGTCAAACAGTCACACTGATGAGCCCAACCTATCATCCATAGGCAGAAGAGCCCTAATTTTGTTTCGGGGATGAAATTGACATAATTGGGAAAGCCCAATCCAACTTCATGACGAGTCTACTAGTCGTCCATTCTATCTTATCCTACCAATACTATATAGATATTCTTCATGAGAACATACGGGAATGGAAACTTCCTGCTCGCTGCGCAACTCCATGAAGAGGTTTTCGGTCTTCTATAAAATTTATGAAAGCATATTCATGGGTTCTTTTGCAAGGATTCAAAAAAGCTGCCTCGTGAGAGCTTCACGAAAGGGCAGTTTAGACTTTTCATTCTCCTGCACATTTAATGAAGTGCTCCATTTTGGTTGCTATTAATTTGGCGGACTCATTAACAAATTTTTTCGCCGAATTGGGCTAATACCATAGCATACGAAGCCCAAATTCCTGGACATGCCCCATAATTCCGTTCCCTACGTAGAATTGGAAAAGGTTAATACCGTATCAGGTTTTTGGAATACATGAAGTCAGCGTCGAGGCTAATACTGTATCAGGTTTTTTTCCCCAGTAGCCGTCGTCCGGTGTTCGTCATCCCTCTATTGGTGTGAAGTGGTAGCTAGGATGGTTCGTATTGAAGATGCTCCTGGTTCTTCCTTAGAAATAAATCGACATCAGCAGGATGCTCCTGGTCCTTCATCAAGAATAAAACGACATAAGCAGGACAGGGGTCAATGTTAGTATCGACACGATGACATTTGTGAATTTTATTCTTTGTATGCTGTTTGGAGGGGAGGAAGGCATAACTTGGTAGTCACAATTTGATAATTTGCAGGGTTGAGGAGGGCTATTTGCAAGCCACCTAAATATCCTCCACAGCAACAAATTGTGGCTGAAAGAACCCGTCTTAATCAACGTAATCATTGGTTATTTGTGTTTTCCACTAAATCTAAAAATATCGTTGTGGTGTATTTTATTTGTTACAATACCCGCATTGTTTTCCTTCGCAGGGATTGATAGGTTAAATATCCTGTTATAAACGCACTGCTATGGATCGGGAAATCGCCGGAATCGACAAAGCAAGAATACGAAAGCGAGAATCGAAAACACGACACACGATTTACGTGGTTCACTAACACGATGTGTGTTAGCTACGTCCACGGGCGAGAGAGAGCCAATTTCACTATATCGAGGAGATTACAGATTACAGAGGAGTATGAGAAGTATTTATAGTACATCTCCATGTGGGTCTAAACCTAATCCAATCTTGCAAAGGAAACGGTTACAGACCAGGCCCAGAACCCGAACCCAAATAACATTGAGCCCATACACCGTGGGCCGGGGGCGTTGCCCCCGCACCCCCACCGAGGCGTTGCCCCTGGACCTCACTCACTGACCGGGCAGCGAGACCCCCGATTACCAGTCGTAGCGGCTGATAGTCCGATTCAAGTCACATCAACAAATCTCCACCTTGACTTGAATCCTCTTCCTCTGAAATCCATGATGTACTCTGCTCCTTCTCTCTCTCTCCCGCCATCAATGCCCCGCAGGGCGGAGTCACCCACTCAAGACATTCAGCAAGTCCAAGCAGTGTTGGAACTTGCCATGTGGAACCGGCTTCGTGAACATATCAGCAGGATTATCCGCGGTGCCAACCTTCTTCACCTTAATCCTCTTCTCTGTCCTCAAGAAATGATACCTAACGTCGATGTGCTTAGTCCTCTCATGGCGGACTTCATCCTTGGCCAAGCATATTGCACTTAAACTGTCGCAATACACCACTGCATGCTCATGATGTAGACCCAGATCACCAACCAATCCCTTCAACCATATTCCCTCCTTAGCAGCTTCTGTCAACGCCATATACTCTGCCTCAGTGGTAGACAAAGTCACCGCCGACTGCAAAGTTGCCTTCCAGCTCACTACAGAACTCCCAAGAGTGAATACATAACCGGTCATCGATCTCCTCGTGTCAACATCTCCAGCATAGTCCGAGTCAGAATACCCAGACACCAATCACTCTGTATCACTTCCGAAGCTAATCCCCACATCAGGTGTACCCTTAAGGTACCGGAAGATCCTCTTCACAGCCTGCCAATGCTCCTTCCCAGGTTGTATCATAAACCTGCTGACAACACTAACAGCATGTGCAAGATCAGGTCTAGTGCATACCATAGCGTACA